AGCTCAGCAGTTTCTCGTTGGGGCCTGTTTTTGAAGTTTTTCTGTTGTAATATAGCCACCCGCAGGGAAGCCACTGAATGACTAGACAGGCTAAAGTGTTCTCCCACTTGTTTTTGAGTATTTTGATTCCTGATGTCAGATTCGTGTCCATTAACTCCTTTGCGTAGAGACTGTCCGGTTTGGCCAATGTACATGGCAGAGGGGCATTGCTGGCACATGATGGCATATATCACATTGGTAGATGTGCAGGTGAACGAACCCCTGATGGTATGGCTGGTGTGATTAGGTCCTATGATGGTGTCACTTGAATAGATATGTGGACAGAGTTGGGATCGGGGGTTGTTACAAGGATAGGTTCCTGGGTTAGTGGTTTTGTTCAGTGATGTGTGGTTGCTGGTGAGTATTTGCTTTAGGTTGGGGGGTTGTCTGTAAGCGAGGACAGGTCTGTCTCCCAAGATCTGTGAGAGTAAAGGATCATCTTTCAGGATAGGTTGTAGATCTCTGATGATGCGCTGGAGAGGTTTTAGCTGGGGGCTGAAGGTGACAGCTAGTGGTGTTCTGTTATTTTCTTTGTTGGGCCTGTCTTGTAGGAGGTGACTTCTGGGTACTTGTCTGGCTCGGTCAATCTGTGGGACAGTGTTTCTGTGGAAGAGAGGGCCCAGTCTGTACTAGCAGCGAGGTTCCCCCACTGAGACCTCAGCTGAAATCACTGAGAGCTGGTGGAACCTCAAGAGACCAACTCACAGAGGTCACAGTGGCAGGTGGCAGCAAAAGGTGACGGCGCAGGGCCATTGGCAACAGAGCGATGGAGTGAACGGTGGCACAACGAACAGCAGTGGCCAGAGCGAACAGTGAGCAGCTGGAGGAATGAACAAGGTGCCTTCTTGCCCCCCACCTGGGAGGTGAACTCATGTGAAAGCACCTCTGAACTCCGAGTCTCCACTGACCAAGGACAACACCAGTGAGTGTTAATGAGGCTGTTAAGAATGCTGGAAACACAACACAGTTCATGCGAACAAACACGGCTGTGGCAACATACTTTCTATTTAAGCAAGAGATACCACGCACTACAAACTGGAGGCCAATGTTAAGTGCTTTGTCACTTGTTCATCCTGAAGTTGAACAAGACCAGCAAATGCTCACTATCTTTCTGCAAGAAACTCAACTGACTGGCTAGAAGCATGTGGTGCAACAGTGAAAGACACAACTGTTGAAAAAGTGAAGAACTCTCTCACCACATTCAAAAAATGTGCATACATGGCTGATGAATGCACCGATGCAAATGGGCATCAAGTATTAAGTCATTGTGTATGTTATCTTGATGTCAGTGGTAGGCCAGTAGATGCATTTCTAGATGTTCAAGTTATAGAAGACACATCGGCTGCATCTGTGAAAACACACATCTTAGAAGAGTTAAATGCTTGTCAGTTGGACCCCAAACAGATGGCTGCTTGTGCATTTGATGGAGCTGCAAACTTCTCTGGAAGACATGGTGGAGTACAAGCTTTGCTCAGAGACAAGTGTAACCCTAATCTCTCCTATACACACTGCAGAGGCCATCTACTCCAACTAGTGCTAGTACAAGTGGCAGACTCTTCAAAAGACATTTTAAAAGCTATAAAATTAATGTCTTCGTTATGATCTTTTTTCAGCAAGAGTCCAAAAAGTCTAAATATCTTGGAAAATCTAGACGAGACACTGGGACTGAAGTTCAAATTAGTCCAACCTGGGAAAACCCGCTGGCTTTCTCATGAGCGATCCTTGGTTGTTGTCTTAAAATTACTCCAGCTGTTATTACTGGCTTTGGAAAGTATCTTCTGTGACAAAGTTTCTCCTCTACCTTGGTGGGTCCTGCGCTTATTGGCGGATTTGCTCGCTTCACAGATTCACCCTGTGGGTCAGGAAACAATCCAGAGACCTTCCCCTCTGGTAGAAGCTATAGTCCAGGTCAATTCCTCCTGTGTTTGATCAGGAGTTGGGAGGTTTGGGGGGAACCCAGGCCCGTCCTCTACTCCGGGTTCCAGCCCAGGGCCCTGTGGACTGCAGCTGTCTAGAGTGCCTCCTGGTACAGTTGCACGACACCTACAACTCCCTGGGCTACTTCCCCATGGCCTCCTCCCTCCCAACACCTTCTTTGTCCTCACCACCGGGCCTTCCTCCTGATGTCTGATAACGCTTCTACTTCTCAGTCCTCCAGCAGTACGCCTACCTACTCTCAGCTTCTTGCACACCTCTTGCTCCCAGTTCCTCACACACACTTCCTCTCCCTGGCTTGACTGGAGTGAGCCCTTTTATAGCATCAGAGGGGCCTTAATTGGAGTCAGTGCTTAACTGCCTCCCCTGACTCTTAGCAGGTTAATTGGAGTCAGGTGTCTATTAGCCTGGAGCAGCCCCTGCTCTGGTCACTCAGGGAACAGAAAACTACTTATCCAGTGACCAGTATATTTGTCCTCTACCAGACTCCTGTACCCCACTGGTCTGGGTCTGTCACAGTAGCTTTTACAGATCCCGTCCTATAAAACACCGACAGTTGAGTGGAGTGAGGCACTACCAGCAATGGGGCTGCCATGTGTTCAGGACAGAATAGAGAATTTGAACACAGAGGAATATCATATGACAAATGAATGAAGATTTGACTTCAGCTTCTTTTTTATCATCACTATTGGCTCGACCCGATCTTTGTGTTTGGTTTCCTGGGATGAAAGAAGTAGGAATTCATCTCTTGCTATTCCCAGTCACAACAGCTACAGTTGAGCGTTCTTTTTCATCACTGAATAGAATTTTGTGTTCTGAAAGAAGTCGCCTTTTGCCTGATCATGTGAATGAACTAATGAGCATATCAATTGAAGGAATGGAAGTACCGGACACATAGAAGCCACCAAAGATGGACGTGTTGCATTCAAGAAGTTCATTAACAGAGTTGTGCAAAATTATAAGAAGAAACCAAGAAGAATGTAGATGGTGTGATTCATAGAAGGCTTCAGTAGCCACCTTTAATTTGTGTGATGATTTTAAAACGTAAGTTAAATCTAATAAAATGGTCATGAAACATTTTTTCAGTTTTTATTATGGTGCCATACAGCCCACCTTCACCCTCACGGTCTCACCCGTCATTGGTCCTGACCCCCCCCTTGTAAATTCGCACCCCACCCCCCATTTCAATTCCTGGAGAAAGCACTGTCCCCAAGTCCTCACGTTGGGCAGAGTTCACAAAGTGCTGGGCAAAGTGTCGTCAGCCCCTGCCTTTGCGTTGCATGGCGGAATGCAGGGGCCGTCCCTTGCTGGGTGTTCGTACAGAGCCTGGCACGAAGGGCATAATCTCTCTGGGCATAATCCTTCTGGAATGGAGAGACTTATTATTTCAGCAGAGTCCACATCTCCCCCAGAGGCCCCCCTTCCACTCACAAAGCCCTCCACCAGTACAAACGGATCAGGACCAAAATAACTAACCCAGCCTGGCCCAGAGACGGTAGCGCCAAGGGGACCGATTATGGGGCAATAGTCCCTCTCTCATGGCCCTGTGCCATGGGGGGCATTGGACGAAACACAAAACCAACGTCCTGGTCAGTGAAAATGACCAAGCTCTAGAGCAGCAGGTAACCCACTAGTCTTGACCAAATCCTAACTCGGGTGACTACGTTTCCTTCCTCAAATCCCCTGCAGTTTTAATTGGATACAGGATCCTTTGCTTCCAGTCCCTAACCGTGGCCTGGCGTTAAACAAAGGTGCCATGCACCACCCCAGAGGTGGCTGCTTTTGAGTGGTGGGTGAAGTGCTTTGGGATCCTTTGGGACAAAAGATGCTGTGTAAATGAAGGGTTGTCTCCTTGCTTCTGCCTGCAGCATGAGGCCCTCCTCCAGGAGAGGGATGAAGCTAAAGAGAAGCTGTCTGAGTTTGAGCAAGGTGAGTCCTGTTCCTTGGCCTCCCTCTTCTTCTTCTCCTTTCCCCCCAGAATTCCCAGGAGAGAGCCATGGACATTTATGAGGCGTGTAGTCTCCAGGCTCATTAAAGATGGCGGGATATGGAGGCTGGGAAGTAGATAGCGGGGCCTGGTCTCCCAAAACTAACCTGGGAGCCAGGAGACCTGGGTTCTCTGCCTAGCTCTGCCACCGACCAGCTGGGTGCCTTTAGACAAGTCACATCCCCTCCCTGTGCGTTAGCTTTCCCCAGCAACGTGTCTGTACCGCACCCAGCACAACAGGGCTCTGAACTCAGTCGGGGCCTCTGGTGCTACTGTACCATGGGCAGAGACTGGTTAAGCCAGGGCACGGGAGATTCTAACCCCCATGTTGTCCAGACCTGTTCCTCTCAGCCTGGAATGAACAAAATTCGGGTCTGGTGAATCCATTTTTTTCTGCCTACCAGACAAGCTGTGGATTAAAGCCAAGGGGTGCACTGACTGCCCAGTGCATCCGACCTGAGGATGACCATGAAATCTGGCCTCCTGCCTGCAGTTCCTTGTGACCACCGGGGCACACCTGGGAAAACAGGCTGTTTGCCTGACTGGCTGAGCTGTTCCATTCCTCCTGCAGTTCAGTAGCATGACTCAGGTTTATTACAGCAGTGCCACCGGGCCAACCAGGAGGAGGGCCCCTTTGTGCCAGGTGCTGTACAAACACCCTGATGTCAAGGGCCCTGCCCCATAGAGCTGGCAGTCCCAGGGTACGGCTACACCAGTGCTGGAGCTGTAATTTCCAGCTCGGGCAGACATATGGGCACCAGCTTTGTTCAAGCTCGGATGCTAAAAATAGCAGCGGAACGAGCAGAGGGACACATGAGCCGCCCAAGTACAGACCTAGGGTTTCAGATGGGATCCTACTTGGGAGGCTAACCCGTCCCGCCACTCACGCCGCCCCATCTACGCGGCTCTTTTTAGCACTCTGACTCAATCGGAGCTAGCCTGGGTATGTCTGCTCAAGCTGAAGAGGACACTCCTGGCTTCAGTGTGTAGATATCCATTACTGGACCAGACAACCACCCTGCCCTTTGGGAGTGATGCACGGCCCACTCTGTGCACTGTGCGGCTACAGAATCGGGGGCCCTCCTGCATCACAGGGAGGGGAGGGGCCCATCTGCTGAGCTGCGAACACGTGCCCTGCGGCTGCACAGACAAGCGACCCCGTGGTGCTAGGAGCAGGAGTACGTTCTAGTTGGGTTCTCTGCCCATATACGTGGGACCTGTGCTGCTCCATCACCCCCCTTCTCTACCCTGGGATGGTGTGTTGCACAATACTGAGTGTCCCCAGTGGCTTTCCGACTTAAGGTGACCAGATGTCCCGATTTTGTAGGGACAGTCCCAATTTTTGGGTCTTTTTCTTATATAGGCTCCTGTTACCCCCCCACCCCCTGTCCCGATTTTTCACACTTGCTGTCTGGTCACCCTCTTCTGACCTCACCCACCTTTGCTCTGATCTCCTGCACCCTCTTCTTGAATAACCAGGAGCTGCAGCTGGGTCCTGGCCTGGGCAGCTGGGGGAGAGCTCAGCCCAGCGCCCGTCCCCTCTTCGCAGCAGCGTATGGATATCAACCATTATTTTAAAGGCGAAAGCATCCCTGGTCATACTGGTACCTCCCACTGGGTGGGCAAACAGCCCTCCCCGGCCAGTAGGGATCTCCCATCGTCCTGCTCGCTCCCAGGGATCGATGAAATAAGTGGGCTCCGGACATGCCGTGAGCTGATTTCTAGTGAGTGAGAGATGCTGCCCCCAGTGACTGGGACGGGAAGCAGGGCCGGCTCCAGGCACCAGCTTAACAAGCAGGTGCTTGGGGCGGCCAAGGGAGAGGGGCGGCACCTGCGGCAATTCGGGGGCGGCAGGTCCCTCACTCCCTCTAGGAGCGAAGGACCTGCCGCTGAACTGCCGCCGCCGATCGCGATCGCGACTTTTTTTTTTTCCGCTTGCGGCGGCAGAAATGCTGGAGCCGGCCCTGCCGGGAAGGGCGATAAACCCGCTATCGGCAGCAGCTAACAAAGCTGCTTTGTAGCTCACGTCGGTGACCCCGGGGTCCTGGTCACCTCCCGGCATGTTGAGCGACGTACGGAGCTAAAGGGCTGAGGTAGATACAGGGATTGAATCTGTTGCTGGTGGGGAGTGCGGGGCGCTGACAGGCTGGTGAGGACAGCAAGATTGTTCGCGGGGTGGCCCTAGGGTCTGGAAGCCCCAGTCACACACACGTGGCTGAGAGATGACCACTGCCCCAAAGGGTTTACAGTCCAACCCGCCCCAGGTCAGGGACGGTTGCGTCACCTCTTTGTACAGGTGAGCCGAACCGGATCAAGCCGCCAGCGTCAGGCCAAGCTCTGGACGGGCCCCAGCGGCTGGGCACGGTTTGCTAAGACACAGCCGCACTGGCAGTAGGCTGCAGGATACCAGGCCAGGAAGGATGGCCTCTGGGCTGGTTCTAGGGGCGGGCGAGTCGGGCATTTGTCCTGGGTACCAACTTCCGGGGGGGTTGGGGGGGGCAAGGCATAGCACTCACCTTCTTTTTTTGACTTGGCTCTGATTGGCTGGCTAGTTTTGCTCCACTGATTGGCTGGCCTTTTTTGCTTAGCTACTGGGGTGCTGAAGCCATTTTCCACCTAGCTAGCAAAACAGGTAGGGATGCTCCAGGATGGCTAGTGGGTAGGGTGCTGGACTAGGACTCTACAGACCTGGGGTGACGGGTCCAGTGGTGGCCTGGGACATTTTTGACAGATGAGGCACACCTCGCAAAATAGTCATTTCCACTCCCACCCAATTTATAATTGGCTAGCTAGTATTATAAGACGATTTTTAAATACATGGAAAAGAATCATAAGAACATAAGAATGGGCGGATTGGGTCGGCCCAGTAATCCATCTAGCCCAGTCTCCTGTCTTCGGACAGTGGCCAGTGCCAGGTGCCCCAGAGGGAATGCACAGAGCAGGGAATCATCGAGTGATCCAGCCCTAAATGAATCTCTTTACAGAGGCAGAAGACGAGCAATTCCAAGTAAACAAAAATAGTTTACAAGTCCCAAGATTTTCATATGAAATTAAATATCGGCTTTGGTTAAAGTCATAAACATAAAGCGACATTGTTCAGCCTCTGCTTCAATTGAGTATGCATCCAAATAACAGACTGCCGTGGCTATGTCACTATAATATACCCCCTCAATTAAAAAAAAAGCAACACTAGCACTAAAAAAAATGCGTGTATAATTGATCAGCAAATCAGAACCTGAAAATCACATCTTGTTTAGTGGAATATTCACTATAGAGGCACAAATATGATATAAAAATTCATTAATTCAAAACAAACAAGCCTGTTTGTCCTGGCATGGCCAGAAATTGAGTTATACATCCAATAAGAGAGATGGGAGCTTATCTAATGGATAGTGGCGATCAGTCTGCCTTTCTCGATTTGAGACCAAGCATGCAATAACGTCATTGGACCCGGCGCAACGTTGGATGTAGCTGTGATGCTCCGAGTACATTTCCCAGACCTGAAGAAGAGCTCTTTGTAGCTCGAAAGCTTGTCTCTCTCACCACCAGAAGTTGGTGCAATAAAAGATATTCCCTCCCCCGCCGTGTCTGATCAGAGAGAATGTCGGTGATGCTGAAGATGTTACTGTAGGAGTGTGCCAAGAACAGAAACTAAAAGTTGTTTAATTTTGCAAGGCATCCTATAACATGTCGCTGAGATTCTCCATCCCACCCACGGGCACTGAACATCTCCTGAAGCACTTTACCCGGTTTCTCTCTTTCCAAGACAATGGCACATAGACTCTGCCATTGAACTGCGCCCCGGGAAGGCCCTTCTGCCCACAGTTTGGTCCAGCAGTTCACTGTGGTTGCTGGAGCATGTAAAAAATATGGAGAAGCCTTGCAAGGTTGCAAAAAAGCCACAGGTTCCCCTTACTGGAGAACTAGATTTAATCTATGTGCAAAACAGCACACAAACAATGCTTGAGGAACCTTTTCTTCTTAATTAGGGCTTTCAGACCTCCAGCTCACCAGGCAGCACTCCAGTGCCATCATACGACTGAGACACAAGTAGTCGTATTCTATCACTGAATTCGCAACCTGCGTCAAAGCACCTGCATTTCCATCTGAGCTGGCATCTTTCAAACCCATGAGCTTCTCTTGTATTTGCCTCTTCTTGTCCAGGTAGCACAACACAAGTGAAAGTTGGCTTAAGGGAGAAAGCGTAGTTGTTTTGTCTACCTCGCAAGTGAAAAAGCTGCACTTTTCAATCTCCCGGTCAATATAATAACAATATGGGGGGAGGGATAGCTCAGTGGTTTGAGCATTGGCCTGCTAAACCCAGGGATGTGAGCTCAATCCTTGAGGGGGCCACTTAGGGAGTTGGGGCAAAAAATCAGTACTTGGTCCTGCTAGTGAAGGCAGGGGGCTGGACTCAATGACCTTTCAAGGTCCCTTCCAGTTCTAGGAGATAGGATATCTCCATTAATTTTTTTTTAAATATAGAACGTTATTTCTTCAGCTGTGCGTTCGATCAATTAATCCTGAATTGTCTTTCTTAGGTTGGAAAAAATGGATACATTGTTCTGCCAATAAGCCGTCGACCCCTTTTTTTTTTGACAAAAAGCAATACTCAAAATGTTCCTTGAACTTCCCCTGGCTGACAGATTCCTCCGTCTCACATTGGCCACATAATCCAAGTTCTTGACAAGAGAAAACAACTCAAATATCAGCCGGTTGCTTCAAAATCTCTCTGTTTTTCCTGACTTTCTGGTTATGCTCTAAGACAGCAGGACGCCTTTGCTCACATCCATAGAAGTGCTTTCCTGCTCTAAGCATTTCAAGAGAAACGTCCCTTGTCGTGTGCTCTTGTGATGAGCCGTGTAGAGACGCACTTTGTGACAGATTTTTCAAGTCACAGTGGCCTTCATTAGCCCAAATGGCTACTTTAGCTGAAAGAAGCAAATAGAAGAAGCAACAATATAATATCTTACTCCCAGTAGTGCCTGTTAACCATCTCTGGATGCAGCACCAGATGTCTGAAATTGCCGCGTTCTTTTCCCATCTTTCTTCAAAACCTCCAGTGCTGGTGTTATTTTGCCTTCCTTATTGATTGAACGTCTCTCTTCTTGAGATCTTCATGGAAATCCTCTTTTTCTCAGGTCTCACACAACATCAAAGCTATTACTGAACCTTTTAACATCTCACCAATTCCAAATATATGTCACCAAGTCCTGAACCGAACTTAACGGCTACAGTCTTGCCATGGCCTCACCAAGCAGTGGTTACCGCAGCAAGTCCCTTATAAAGGGATGCCCGGGGAGGGGGATAAACTGGTAACAATTCTGGTAACAAGGCAGCTTCTTGAGGCACAGTGATGGGGTGTCTACCCCACACAGGTGTAGAAGGGGTTAACCCCAGGAGTGAGCCGTGGAGATGAGTCTTCGGAGCACTTTGGGCGCTGGAGGGAGCAACCATTCAGGGCCCAGCGGTCTCACATGAAAGAAGCTGCTAGGTCAGAACCAGTCAGTCATGGCTTGGAGCTCAAGGAGGGAGGACTGGATTCCTAGCAGATGGAGGGAATCTAGTACCATGGACAGAGCAGTTGCTGGCAGGGACTGGGGGAGCCAGAAGGAGCTCCTGACTGGTTGCCAGAACTGATATGCTGAGGCCTTGAGGTGATTGTGAAGAAGGTGCTGGGACTGTGGCGAAGTGGCCCAGGGAAATGTACTGAGCCGTTGGAGGGGACGTAGCATGTGGTTGCCATCTGCAGGGTCCCTGGGTTGGGACCCGAAGTAGGCGGGGACCGGGTCCAACCATTCGGCCCCGGAGAAGTGGCCTGATGAACGGACTGCGAGTCATGACGAGGATGCTGCGGTTCCTGGAGTGACAGTGTGCAGACCGCGAATGGGAGTCGGCCTCCCCAATCCCTGGAGCAACCAGGAGGAGGCACAAGTCCGGCGGTGAGTGGTGCGCCCCATGACAACGTGCTGGAGAATGAAGTCATACAGTCGCCCCTGTATGAGGGGAGGTAAGTGGCTGGACGCATGGACCGCGAGGTACTGACGCCCGGAAGGGGGAAACACAGACACTGACATGAAGAGGATGCGGCAGTTCCTAGAGCGACTGCCGACGGAGGCGGAGTCAGTGTGACGGGTGCACACTGCGGACGGGAGGGTGTCGTCCGTCAGCTAATCCCCAGGCATGACCAGGAGAAGGTCAGTCCAGCAGTGAGCGGTGCGCCCTTGACGGGCTCTATTAGCTCTGGCGAGATTTGAGCCCCACACAGCACTACATTCTTCAAACTTTCGGGTGCTGCTGGAGAAAGTGAGCTGGGACTGATTTAAATCGAAACAAAAGGCCACAAGAAGCACTTTTGTTAACTCATTTAACGTGTACATGCTTACCTGTCCTTCAGTTATCAATTAAATCAAAAGGAACATGCAAACTTCTTTTGTAACTTTTTGGGAATTCTTGGCTCACTTGTCTAAGCTGATACTGCTGGGTTCAGTTGCTGGCTTTGTCACAGGCCTTGGGCTACTTTGCTCTGGGCCTTAACTCCCTCTGGCCTTACTGGAGTCTATGAAATCATGTCTGGTGTGGAGAAAGTAGATAAGGACGTGTGATTTTCTCCTTCTCATAACACAAGAACTAGGGGTCACCCAATGAAATTAATAGGCAGCAGGTTTAATACAAACAAAAGGAAGTATTTTTTCACATGACACACAGTCAACCCTTGGAACTCCTTGCCAGAGGATGTTGTGAAGGCCAAAACTATAACAGGGTTCAAAAAAGAACTAGATAAGTTCATGAAGGATAGGTCTATCAATGGCTATTAGCCAGGATGGGCAGGGATGGTGTCCCTAGCCTGTGTTTGCCAGAAGCTGGGAATGAGCGACAGGGGCTGGATCACTTGATGATTCCCTGTTCTGTTCGTTCCCTCTGGGGCACCTGGCACTGGCCACTGTTGGAAGACAGGATATTGGGCTAGATGGACCATTGGTCTGACCCAGTCTGGCCAGTTCTTATGTTTTTATGTACTGGGAAAGTGCCATGAATGAGTGTGGGGCTGTGTGATGGGGGCCAGAGCCCGAGCCCGGGAGGCAGGCTGTGTGGAGGGAGCGCTCTGTTACGAACCCTGTGTTGGGGGTGGAGTGGGGTGCTTGAATCCTGCCTCTGGCAGCTTCCCCTTCTCATTCGCAGCGTCACAGAGGCTGCTGGCGGAGCTCTCAGCGCTGGAGGTGGAGTATGAAATTGAAGTATCATGTCGCAAACAAGCCGAAGTCTACGCAGCCCAGGTAAGGCCCAGGGAGCTGCGAGGGCGGCGTTAGCCAGCTGCCAGTCCTTGCTCCCCAGCACGGGGCCAAAGCAGGTAGGGGAGGGGAACCATCACTCAGCAGCAGTCACACCGCTCCTCAAAGTGACCCCTGCCCGCCTCCCGGGGCTGTCAGACCCAGTTCTAGGGCTGCTTGAAAACTGTCCAGCTAAACTGGGGTTTCCACAACATGAAATGGTTTGAAAAGCGTGGAAAACAGAATTTTTTCGCTGAAAAACCAAGCACCCCCAACATGTATTTGGAAATGTTGCCGTGGCACCTCATGGGAGTTGTAGCTCAGGTGCCTCATGTGCTCATTCTTCACACAGCGCACAGTCAACTTGTGGAACTCCTTGCCTGAGGATGTTGTGAAGGCTAGGACTATAACAGCGTTTAAAAGAGAACTGGATAAATTCATGGTGGTTAAGTCCATTAATGGCTATTAGCCAGGGCGGGTAAGGAATGGTGTCCCTAGCCTCTGTCTGTCAGAGGGTGGAGACGGATGGCAGGAGAGAGATCACTTGATCATTGCCTGTTAGGTTCACTCCCTCTGGGGCACCTGGCATTGGCCACTGTCGGTACACAGGACACTGGGCTAGATGGACCTTTGGTCTGACCCGGTATGGCCGTTCTTATGTTCTATAGGCTGGGCTCCTCAGATGGACTACATCTCCCATGATGCACCATGTCCCAGGACTCCCTGAGAGGAGAGATTATGTTGCATTATGGGAGATGTAGTCTGACCAGGGAGCCAGGCCTATAGAGGCAAATGTGAGCATGAGGCGCCTGAACTACAGCTCCCATGAGGCAGTGTGGCAGATTGCCAAATCTACATATTTTTGTTTGGCTGAGATCTTTCTGGAATTCAAATTTCTGCTGAAAAGTTACAATTTTCCAAATTAAAATCCTCACCAAGAAAATGAAGTTTCATCAGTTTTCCTTGGGAAAATTTTACAACGAGCTGTACTTTACGATGCCATTATCATCACTGTCTGCAGTGTAAGCAGGGAAAATCCAAACCGCGTGTGACACCTGGGGAGGGGATAAAGGGAGACAGATGAGAGAAAAATTGTTGGCATTGAAATGCAGCCAGTTCAAAAGTGAGAGGGGGGAATATGTTGTCACCAAATGCACAGTTGGCCTGTGGAACTCATTGCCACAAGAAATTATTGAGGCCAAGAGCTTAGCAGGATTCAGAAAGGGACTGGTCAGCTATGTGGATAAGGAGAACATCCGGAGTTGTCATAATAAACACTAAAAATGTAACCAGGGGTTTCAGAAGGGGGTTTCATGGTATGAGGAGACACTAACTATAATGTGCTAAAAGGAAACTTCCCTTTCCTGTGAAGCAGCTGGCACTGACCGCTGTCAGAGACGAGTTCCTGGGTTAGATGGTCCTTGGTTCTGATCCAGTCTGGCCTATGCACCCATTTCCTCTGGGTGTAAGAACCGCTCCGGGTTCTATGTCCAGCACCTCCCTGCACTCTGCCTCAGTACAAAGGGCTCTTCTCTGTTCTTCTTGCACCCCGCTGGGTAGGTGAACAGGGAGAACAAAGAACTGAAGCGGATCAGCGTGGCACTGCTGCCCATGTTGAACCAGCTTCCCGAGGACGTGCTGAGTCTGGCTACTGAAGAAGCCTCCCCCTCCGACCCAAGCCGAGATCCAGCGTATCCGTACCTGCAGCAGATCAAAGGTGAGTTGCGCGCCTCCGCCCTGGGGTCCCAGACTGAGACTTGGGAACAACCAGAGAAGAGGCTCTCCCCTAGGAATCCATTCCAGGTGCTTACACTGAGCCAGTGCTGGGATGGGGTTTGGGCATTTAGCTAGAGCTGTGGGGCAGAGCAGAAACCTCATGGCTTACCTGACTTTAGACGTAACAGTGCCAGACACCTAGAGATCCATGCCTAGGGAGTGGTGTGAGGGGTATTCCAGGACTTAATTCATCTGAATCCAGTTTTTAAACTTGGACTCTAATATAAGGTCTTTCACTTTGCCGTTGAGACGCCCAGATGTCAATTCGGAGCCCTGTTATTGTTATAATTTATTGCTTGTATTACTGTAGTGCCTAGGACAGTGGCTCTCAACCTTTCCAGATGACTGTACCCCTTTCCGGAGACTGATTTGTCTTGTGTACCCCAAGTTTCACCTCACTTAAAAACTACTTGCTTACAAAGTCAGACATAAAAATACCGATGTGTCCCAGCCACACTAGTACTGAACAATTGCTGACTTTCTCATTGTTACCATCTAGTTATAAAATAAATCCATTGGAATATAAATCTTGTACTTACATGTCAGTGTATCGTATAGAGAGCAGTATAAACAAGTCATTGTCTGTCTGAAATTGTAGTTTGTCCTGACTTCGCTAGTGCTTTTGATGTAGCCTGTTGTACAACTAGGCAAATCTCTAGAGGAGTTGATGTCCCCCTGGAAGACCTCTGCCTGCCCCCAGGGATACGCACACCCTGGTTGAGAACCACTGGCCGAGGAGACCTCGGCATAGGCCAGGACCCAGGTGCTGTTGTGTTGGGGTGGGGGGGGGTCTCGGGCCCGACACGGGATAAGTTAAGAACACCCATGTTCACTTTTACAACAATCAACCCATCAGTGAGGTTTGGCTTCTAGTGTCACGTTATGGCTGGCGACTCCGCCATTCAAATCTTTTTACCCTTTTACTAAAGACACAGAAAGAGAGAGGACAACAGTTAAAGCCCTTAGGGGGGAAGGATAGCTCAGTGGTTTGAGCATTGGCCTGGTAAACCCAGGATGATGAGTTCAATCCTTGAGGGGGCCACTTAGGGATCTGGGGCAAAAATCAGTACTTGGTCCTGCTAGTGAAGGCAGGGGGCTGGACTCAATGACCTTCCAGCTCTATGTGATAGGTATATCTCCATATATTATAACAGGGTTCAGAAAGAACTAGATACGTTCATGGAGGATAGGTCCATCAATGGCTATTAGCCAGGATGGGCAGGGATGTGTCCCTAACCTCTGTTTGCCAGAAGCTGGAAATGGGCGAGAGGGGATGGATCACTTGATGATTCCCTGTTCTGTTCATTCCCTCTGTGTGCTGGGCCCTGGTCCTGACTCCAGTGGCCCAGTTGCTAAATCAGACTGCATTGGTGCACTTCAAGGAACCAAAGGGTTGAAATTCCAAGGGTAGAGGTAATTGAAAACCATAGCTGGGGATGTGTTTGGGCTAAGGGCATCTGTGCCTGTCTGACCCCAGGCGGGGCGTGTAGCCCTAAGGATTAATTTGCTTGTCTGTATAAATATAATTTGAGTATTTGATGGATTAGGCTTATAGATTTTATATTAAAAGTAAGTTTGGCTGTAATGCAAGAGACCTACCTACAGGCTAAATCTCTTTAGATTAAGCTAATGCAAAGTTAACACCTTTGGAGACCCTTACCCAGAAAAAGGTGAGGACAGCCTGGGCCATGGACACTGACTTCTCTTCCTGTCCGAGGGGGGTTTTCTCCAGGTCACCAATGGGTGTGCATCCATTACCTTCCACCAGGCCCATGGTGGTGCTTCCGTTACCTGCTGGGCATGGCCTGCCGTCTCCAGAGCTGCCAGGGTGGCACCTTTCCCCCGGAACAACTTCATTCTGTGGCATGGAAATGCTTGGAGGAGCCAATAGCCTATCTCCCTACCGGGCACCGTTCATATGCCCCTCTCCTCCT